ATATTATTACTCAGGTGATTGATTGTTGGGTAAAAATACTGATGGAGGAAACAAATTGCAAATGTTTCTTTTTCAACAGTTTATGCTGGGTGAGTTTGTGCAATATATGTTTAAATATTGGTTGTTGGAGTAACATGTCTATAATAAAATGCATGTTACTATGAATGAATCTATTATAACACTGTTGTGTTTGTCTAAAATATAGTTACATGGATATCAACAATCTGTGCTGATTGATATAGAACAGTAACATACGTTGAATTCTTGATTTCTGTAATATTTGACTAGTAACATGGGTATAGTAACATTTATGTTATAATAGTAAACAAAAACAGTAACGTGCGTGTTACTAAGAATAGAACAATTGTAACGATGATACGTCTGTATTAGTATAGTAATATGACTGTTACTATTATATATTGGCATTGATCAGTTTCTAAAATTTATGGGTTACTATTGTCTAACATGTAGACATTCGTAACGGTTGAGGGACAATAATACTCACGAAAGGTTGAGATAGACAACAATTTAAACATGGGGCAGGATTGGCCACTCCTTGTGTTCCAAATGAATTCAGATGCCCAGCAAACCCAATCCATGCCATACCATTGGACCTTGCTTGTACTGGATACAGAAGCAGGAGAATTGATCCACAACAACTCTTTGAAACTGCGAAGTGGAATTGTGGACAAGTTTTTTGAGGATGCAAAAATATTGGTAAGTTAATAAAATATGAACAATCCACATTGTGTGATATATTTTAAATGTAAAACATTAACAACATTTTATTATGGCAGAAAGACTACGTGGAGACGACATCCAAAGAAGAACAAAGGAAGTCATTGAAGACTAAAGATGAAATTGTTGTCAGCACACAAGACATCCAATGTCCAATGTACTCCTATGAGACATATCCTCGACAACGAGTTGACACGTAAGTAAATAATAAAATAGAATATCTTTAAGTACATTACATTAAAATATCATTTAAAAAAATCCTTGAATGCAGGGTCGACTGCGGATTATACGTGTGTTACTTAATGCAGCAGATTGCTCATGGACAGCCAATAGAAGATAAATGGAAACCACAACAAATTACCACTCTTAGGATCGATATGGTCTCTACATTCATGAATCATAGGAATGCATGGACTGCTGTAGATTACAAAACAAGAGCAAAATTGAGAAAGAGATACAGAGACAAATAGGACGTACAAATGTGTGGGATGTCTATTCATTTTTAGGCTAATTGCAGAATTGGTTAGAAAATTGGTTGTAATTGTCGGGTGGTTGATATTTGGTTAGAAATTGGTTGTAATTGTTAGGTGGTTGATATTTGATTGTAAAGGAATGTTTGTGGAACAAAAGAAACTCTGTCCACATTGTTATTCAAATAGTAACCCAAACAATAACATGTACAAAAATTGTTCCAGATTCCAAATTCTATATGATTCTACAATGCTTAAATGAAGTAGTTAGTGGAATGAAAATGTTGTTATCCACATGGCTGGGCTTTGTTTGTATAATTTCTTTGATAAACGTTTTAACTCTTTAATACTTGCTTATCCAAACAAAGCAACATGTGTAGTAACATGATGTAAATTTCTCCAAAATAAGCAATCACACACAATCCTTGTTAGAAAGTAACATTAGTTACTATCTAACATGAGCATTAAATATTAACATTGGGGTCACATTAACAGTAACATGAAACATGTATTGATCATGCAAGGATAATACTACACTATTAACTTACCACATTGTTTAACCCGTGATATTCATAAATGGGTAACATGACAAACACAAATAGCTAAAAACAAAAAAAGTAACATCTTATTTCAAAAAAACATACGGAATATTACAATGGCTCGTTACAAGTCTTCTTATTATGAATACCTAAACGACCACAATGAATTTTCCTAAAAAGCACACCTCTAGATCTAAATCTACACTTCCTTGGACAGCATGGTTGTTTTTTTGACAATGGTGGCAACATATCAACGTCAACCGCTGAAAAGTCAGGACGACCGAGTGTTGGAATAAGGTGTATAGGCTCAGAATAACACAGTCTGTAAGTAATAACCTATTAATAGTAATCAACAAACTCATTGATGTTCTTATCACTCTTTTGAATTGCAACCACAACATGGGCACATGGTAAACCGTTGATCTGTCATTGGTGGCATGAGCACGTGCAATTCTTAATGTCAACTGTTATTGAAGGATGTGAATTAACCTCGAAAACATGACTTGATGACACCCTAACAAACCAGGAACGACACTTAGTGAAAGTAACTTGAAGTTTGGATTCAATATTTGGACAATTAATGTCGTTCCATTGTAACAATGTATTTAAGCAACAACCCATTTGGTTCATGATCTATCCCCTTATTGTGTCAACCATGCTTGTGACAGGTAAGTTACGTGACTTTGTGATCCAATCATTGAATGACTCAGCAGCATTTGAAGACATCTCCCCATAATGTTTTCCCTTGAAAAAAGCATTCGTCCATTTCTCAAATGGAAGGTTTTCCAAGAACTTATCAACAACGGCCCCTCCTTCACGTTGAAAATTATCAAGCTTTTCCTTGAAAAATGCCTCTGTTGGAGCATAAGCACACAATGTAAACAAAAAAACTCATACGCTCATGGAACACATGGGTAAAACGACCCCCACTATACTTATCTCTCAGATTTGCTTTTAGGTGTTATAAGCAAAAAAAATGGTGAACTGTTGAGAACACCTTTGACATTGCTTCCATCAAGCCAACATTGCGATTGGACATAATGGTAAGGTCCCTAGTATTATCAACAATCTCAGCTAAATGTTCTAAAAATCAACGTCAATTACACTCATTCTCAGAATCAACAACAGCAAAAGCCAAAGGGAACAACCCCGCAATACATTACCAACACAAACAGTAACATCAAAAACAGTAACATACAAGAAAAATATTAAAAATGTAACAATAAAATAAAATCAATAACACCAAATGAGACCAAAAAAAATCACCTTGGCTGCCATCTTTTGCTATTGCAGACAAAATAATGCTTTTATACCTTTCTTTAAAATGTACCATCAATGAACAATATAGGTCAACAATAGTTAAATCCAGGTATACATGTCTTAAATGACATGAATAACCTACTAAAACGTTGTGTGTCCGAATCACCTTCCAACACAAAATGACTACCTGGATTGCTCTCATTAGCAGCTTGTACATACCACCATAATTATTGGTATGACAACAAATGATTCTCAAACAACATACCCTTTGTTTTTTCAACACCCATGCAAGCTTGATCCTACGATATGGTCAAACTATAATTTGTATGAAACATACATTTCACATCAACTGGTCGCGTGTCAGATTTTTGTCGGACTTTGTCAACAATAAGACTCCCAACCAAATTAGAAGTCAATCTTTTGTTCTTTGTTGCACGTGCAGCCACACCGCACGTGTGCTCATTGTTTAACTTCTTAATGTAAAACTATCCATTTATCCATTGGAGTGTAGCAATAACAAACCACTCATATCTAGTAGAATATTTCATGGCAAATTTAGCCTTCACCCTTGTTTTTTCATTCTTCACATAATGAAACTGAAAACCAACCTCGATTGCCTATTTGCATAAAGCATTTCGAAAATTAGCTACTCCTCCCTCAAAATTTTTCCCAACCTCTACTATTCCATTGGACCATCCATCGGTCAACAAAACATTCTCATTATGAGAACAAAAACGAGGGAGAAGATCATTCTCGCGGCCAACAGAGTTAACAGCTAATTCAGAATTTTCCACAACTTCCCCACCCTCAAAATCATGAACCTCATTCCCTTTAACAACAACTGTAACTTTAACAAAATTTAACTGAACAGATTGTGCAATTAGAAATATGGTTCTCACATCATGATCATTTTGCAAAATGCAATTTGGATATCTAGGAATAGTGTACGACAGGGCAACACAATCAGAATTCAATCCATTCCAATTGTCACACACCCCATGTAACACATCATCCATTGTGGAATTCATTGCAATTCTTAGCACAACAATCTCATAACAATACTTGTAACAAACCAGTAAGTTATCCTCCATCTGTTATAAACAATAAAGCAAAAATAAAGGGAAAAACATAGAAAACCAAACATAATCAATTTTAATTCCAACAAATCAGCATCAGTAACATGAAAAAAAAAATTAAAACCTAATTTCAAAACAAAAAAAAAATAACTCTAGTAAAGAATGTCGTGATATGAATACCAAAAAATGACATTGAATTTCGACAATAACAAAGGAAAAAAAAATCAATTCTAATTCCTAAAAAAGCACCAACAATAACTCCGATGACAAAATATTGCAATATGAAACTCTGGTAAGTAACATAGAATTTTTGGCAAATGACTACCAATTAACGCTAAAACTATTCAAAACAGTACTGTTATTCATATTATGTAAATCAGCAAATTACAATGAAAATGTCTCAGCAAATAATAATGTTTCAGCACAAAGTGGAATCAAGAATCAGCAAGTTGAAGTATAATCACAAAAAAAATGGAATCCAGATGCTGCTTGTATCACCTTCAGGCCTCCATATCAAACGTAGAAGTCTGTTACTCAAATAGTATAACAGACACACAAATTACGCTTGCTTCGAATTTTGAATTTGAATTTTTAATGGAATCTTCTGATCTGAAATTGAGTAACAGACCACTGATTTTAATGTAATTCAAACATAATATATTGATATATACGGTTTCCATAAGAAAGTGATCAGTTTATTACCATATATATCTCAACCATTTAATTTAGGGCTTTCCATAATTGACCAAAGTTAATATCGTTAAGGGTATTTTTGAGATAAAAAAAAAGTGGACTTAAGTCGATATATATAATTTTAAAGATGGACTTAACTCCTTATAAGTTCCCTTACCGAACTTATCTCCAAACAAGTACATCTAGGGGGACTCACCCCCAATTTTCACTTTTTTTTAATACAGATGGGCCGGCCCTGGTGGTGAAAGTACTTTGAGCAATGTGGACAGAAGGGCTGCACATGACCTTGAAACCAATCTTGCCAAGCACCATCTATTAAGCAACTCTTCATTCCATTCTTGTACAACAGGTCGATCCATTGATTGTGGTAACTTAGTGGAACATTTGGGTCAGAGTTCTAATGCTGCAATAAGGGAATGGAATCATACTATCATATCCCTTCCTCCTCATCACATGCCAGTAGTCTCAGGTAGGTTAGTCCCAGATTGATTTTCCTTGTGTTATGTTCCTCATAATTTCTCAAAATTCTCGTTTTTCAAATTGTAAATATCAATATTCTCGATCATGAAACAAACCACTTCATTATAGGAAGTAGTAATTATACTCCTTCTCTAGAGTTTGGGGGATATCATAATGATTGCATGTCCTATTTCTCAAAGATTGCAAGGTCCTTCAACTGAGTCTGTGAAAAGGTGTTCGAAGTAGCCATACTCAAAGATCTACCCCAACTTTCAGGTCTTCTTCAATTCATAGTTGTTTTCAATTAGTTATAATTCTATAACTATATAAGAGAAAGAACTCGGAGTAGTTGGCGTCTGCTTACCTGCTTACCAAATGAGACCGACAAACTCTTCCACATCGATTAGTCTTTTTAACGCTATGGAATTTTCAACAATGTCGGAGCCCCATTGGGAATTGATGGAGCTGTTGTCCAGCATACAATCCCCCGAAAATGTTCAAAGATCAATCTCGAAAAAGAAGTCAAAAAATAACGATCATGCAACAAATATGGTTTTTCGTGACGAATTGACACGTCGTAAAATGTAAAAATTTAGTCACTAAAACTTTTTATATAAGTAATTTAATTACAAAGTGCTTATTTCACTCTTTCCAAAGAAATTATCTCCACCAAAAAAAGTCAATTAATCGTTTACCACGCCATATATGGACTAATATTTTTTTAGTTCATTCTTTTATTATATCAACAACTTTGTGAACACATTTACTATTGAAAATTTTTAATAGACAAGCGAAATTTGCCACTACAAAATGATTAAATCAATAAAAACAATATTCAAAATTACACCCTTATTTTCTATTAAAACAAAACAAATCCAATTGTCAAAGTTATTCTACAGAATATTTTTTTAAAAAAAATCCTATTTTAACAATTGTCCACCAGTATTTAAAACATCCTTTTACTCTAATAGTCATGACAACTCACCTATTGGTCTTCCGATTTTCTCTCCCCACCCCATCCTCATTCATGGTGGATGATCTATTAACAAAAAAAAAAAGATATTAGAAAAAATTTGAATCCTCCATTCACTCACATTTTTCGATAGAAACATGAATATTTTGGCCCCAATCAAGAATGAGGGGACAATATTGATATTTAAATTATCATGCTTGTTAATGATATATTTTCCAATGTTGGAATGGGGTTGTTGTTAAAATATTGAAAATATTAAAAGGCTAGCAATAACTCTGTTTCTGAAGATATTCTATAATATTAAAAATTAAATATTAATTATATAATATTTATATTTTTAAAGTAATAATTTATTTATTTTTTATGTTTAAATAAAAAATAAGAGAGAGTAAAGAGAGATAAGAGTGAATTAATAAGATTGTTTGTTATTAAAAAGTGTTTTAATTGAGTTGTTTGACATTTGATGCCATGTAGAAAAGATAATATTTTTTAGCAAAAAAAATTTTGGGGATAAATTTTGTACCATTTGATTAAAATAAATGAAGATTTGATCAATCTCGACTATTGTTATGTTTTTATAAATTTAATATTGAAATATAGAAGGGATACAAAACAATTAATGCAAACGTTGGAGGTGTCAAGTGTCATTGTAATGATGCAAAAGATTTTTTTGATAAAAAACACGGACACCCTGTTTTGGTAATATTACATGGACACCCTTGATTTTTTACAAATAACATGGAGACATCTTGAAGTTTGTAACTCATTGCACGGAGACCTTTTCCGTCTTCCATCCATCAATGTTGGTAACGAAAAATGATGATTTTATTTCAAAAAAAATTATTATCTTCATAATTGCCCCTCTCCAAATTTAGTACCTAAAAAAATTAAAAATTCAATAAAATCAAACAAATTTTGATTTAGTACCAAAAAAATTGATTAAATGAATTTCAATATTAATTTAATAAAATTAAATATAAATTAGATAAAATTAAATGTTAATTTGATAAAATTATATATTAATTTACAATCTAAGATTCAGTTTTTATTGAATATTATTTGGTGTTGATTAAACCAACACAAAATTGACCTTAAATTATAATTTTTTTAGTATATAAACGTAAAAATTTATAGTTTAACCTATAAAATTTAAATACATATTTTTTTTATAGCATTGCATCCTCTTTCTTAGAGCATCTCTAACCCACTAGCTAAATCTTCATTTTTAACTAATTCGGCGAGGCTTGCTAGAAAAAACTATTCCAATCGTCTCGTTATCTTTCTAGCTAAAATTTAGGAGATCTTTGTTGCTCGCTAGATCTGGAGAGGACAAGAAACTCACCAAACTGCTCGCCTCTGTCTTTATCGTCTTCTCCAAGGATTAGTCCAAATAATCTTCTTCATCTCCCACCCCCCGGCTACAAATCTCCTCCCTCAATTTCCAAACACACCTCCCCCTAGCCTCCCCCGAAACCCATTCTAAAAAACCCCTTTCCCCCCATTCTAAAAACTCTCTTATCTTAAACTCAAATTTTGAAAACTCGCTATCCCAAATTTCGAAAACCCTTTTGTATAATGAAATATTAATTTTAGACCTTTATCAAAATATTAATGTAAGTATTTGTGAAAATTTTAAATTATATTATTAGGCTACGTGATATTTTTGAATTATATTATTGAAAGTTTGTTAAAATTAGTTGTAGTAGTTAACTAAAATAGAGAGCGTGGTTGGAATGAATTTAAAAAGTGACTAACTAAAATAAAGAATACAATATTTAAATATATTTTGACTAGATATTTTGCTCAGCAGAATTAGAGTTGCTCTTACTATATCACTTAATAAACTTTCTTGTGATCAAGATTCGATCACACATACTTAAACTAAATCAATCATTCACTTTCACTTTTTTATTTTAAAAGAATCGTTCATCTCTATTTGGTAAATCCAAAAGCCTTTGGTTTACGGGGAAAATAAATTAAAATAATATTTAGTTTTATGAAATAGACATTTAATTTTATAAAATTAATATTCAACTTTATCGAATTATTTCAAATTAATTTTTATAGTTATCAAATTAATATTAAAAATTTATTTAATCAATTTTTTGGATACTAAATCAAATTTTGTTTGATTTTATTAAAATTTTAATTTATTTTTAATTTTTTTTGTACTAAATTTAGAGAAGAACAATTATAAAAATAATAAAATTTTTTGAGATAAAATTATTACTTTCAGTTAATAACATTGACGAAAGGGGTTCATGAGTTTCAAACCTCAGTAGTTTTTGTGTTACTTATAAAATATTAAGAGGTATCCATATAATATTATCAAAATTCAGGTGGCTGAGTTTTTTACCCATTTTTTTGTCTTTTAAATAAGTCGCGGGAAAAGCTTGAAAACAAGAAATGGAAATTCAGGAGAATATTTACGCCCTAGAAAATCAAAAACATTTGAATAAAATAAATAAACCGACTATTCATGACAGCTTGCACTCTCTCTCTCTCTCTCTAGAAACCCATTAGTGCCGGCCCAAATTCTCTCTCTCATGAATTCCTGTCAACGGAAAATTGGTGTGATCTCCCCAATCAATTAGAGAACAAGATCGACATTGAGCAGAACCAGAAATGAGTGTGATCGACATTTTAACTCGAGTCGACTCGATCTGCAAGAAATACGACAAATACGACGTCGACAAGCAGAAAGACCAAAATGTCTCCGGTGACGACGCCTTCGCTCGTCTATACTCCGCCGTCGAAGACGAAATCGATGCCGCTCTTCAGGTCAGTCTCGATCTCAGCTTCAACTTGTCTTATTTTTAGGTTTTTTGATTTGATTTTAGAATTGAATTCAAATATTTTGTTTTTTCAGAAAGCTGAGGCAGCCTCTAAGGAGAAGAATAGGGCATCTGTAGTGGCGATTAATGCGGAGATTCGTCGCACCAAGGCCAGGTTGGTAGAGGAGGTCCCTAAATTGCAGAGATTGGCCATGAAAAAGGTTTCATTCCTTCCAATTCCTATTGATATTCATTTGAAGCGTGTATATAGTTGTGTGTTTTATTTTAATTGTAGCTAAGTCTTGTAATTTCTGGTTTCATTGCTTTTGGAATTTCTTTGTTTTTGGATGCTTGTTATGATTTTTGTGAGATCACACCTAACCACGTTTGGTTATTGCAATTTTTTTTTTCAAATTAGGAAGGTAGACTTTTTGTTCGAATCAATTTTGGTGAGATATGGGGTTAAACAACAAGTAATTAATGTAATAGAATTGTGAAGTTATTATATCTACACATTTTTGTTATTCAATCCATGATGGAAAATTTTTTCAAACCCATTTCTCAGTCCATCCCTTCCAATACCAAATTGACTGGGATGGGCACTGGGAGCAAGATCGGGTAATGCTAGTTCTCATGCGCCGTAACCTAAAATGGTATCACTCAAAAGTACTAATTTAGTTTTTATATACAAGTTTTGCTGACATATCTTTTTCAATTGATAATATCGCTAATTCAGTTAATTTTTCTTGTTACGTAATTGACCTCACGTAAGATATCAAACAAAATAATCAAAAAAACAAACACAATCAAACAATCCCTAGTTAAATCATATAATACAACCTTTTAATTAAAAAAACTCCAGAGTTATAGAGAGTGGGCATGTTACGAGAGAGAGAGAGAGAGAGAGAGTGTAGTGAATGTGTTTAGTTATAGCTTTTGTTTTGTTTTTGCCTAGAGAGATAGAGAGAGAAAAAAAGAGGGTGAAAATGAGAGGGAGCTGGTGACTTTTCATTTTATTTGTTTTTGGCGGGAGTGAGAGGTTGTGAGTAAGTGTTAGTAAATGAGATGACCTATTAGTTTTTAACGTCAGTTTTCTTTTTCTTTTTTTAACTTTTGACTTTTTGGGTTTTGAGTGTTATGAGCTGGACTATGGGACCAAATGATTGAATTTAACATTTTTGGATTGGACTTATATTTTTTAGTGCCTTTTGTAAGGCTTAAAAGTTTCATAAATTTAAATTTTTGATATAGACAAATTATGTACCCAAAAATTTGGGGCATTTTCCTTATGAGTGGGGTCTAAAGCCTAGGCTTTACCAGCCTTATGGTTGGGCCGGCCCTGTTGGGAAGAGCTCTATGGATCCTCATTACAATTTTACTTCAGTATTAGGAATCACAATAGTGCATAGGAATACTTGTAATTGTTTGGTTTGAAAGGGAAATATCTCTAGGATACAACATTTTATTGGACTTGAATGTGCCGTACCTTTATTAACTCTTCAAGCTATAGCAAATAGTCCAAAATTATTTGCCAAAGTGGGCCTTCTTTTATCTAAAGGAGTTATTCCTTTTTTCAGAGTTAAAATATCCATGGCAGTCATCTCTATTCTATTAAGCTATTTGGCAATTCCTTTTGGATAACATCTTGTTTTTGTTGATCTCAGTATTGGTGTTCTTTAATGGATTGTCATTTAAAACTTCTCCTATTGGACTTCTTATGTCCTGATATGGATCAGGTTATAAAAATTCCTTTTAGGTGGTCTTTGAGCTGCTGGCCAATCAAACAGATACAAACTACAATTGACACTCTGTGTTAACAATATCTCTATGTGTGATTCATTGAGAAATCTTGGAAGCAAATTAAATATCCTGAATAACTGATTTCATGATGGAAGGGCCAACAAAGTAAGGCCGATGGAACTGATGTTTTTTTTCATTTAGACTCAAAAGGATGAACGTAATGTTAAAATTGGGTTTAGGAGTTTGGACCAAGGTTAAGTGATTGTTTCTTGGGAATGACACCTTGCTCCTTCATCTGATGTTGCAGAGGAATATTACCAAAATGAAATTTGCAGACTGAGGATGCTATTTAAATAAATTTGCTTATTCTGAACAACAATGACTTACCTCTACCATGTTTCTTGATCATTGTCTCCTAGGCACTGGCATCTGTTTCTGATCAGGCTATGTTTGCAATGGTTTATATTTTTTGTGGTTTTCTTCCTAATTTTTGATTTCCTGCATAGTGTTCCTAAATACTTTGGACTGACTTTTGCAGTGGTAATGTATTATATTTACAGGTCAAAGGGCTTTCGACAGAAGAATTTGCCGCCCGCAATGATTTGGTTCTTGCACTACCTGATAGGATTCAAGCCATACCAGATGGGACTGCAGGTGCACCTAAACAAACTGGAGGCTGGACAGCTTCAGCTTCTCGTACAGAAATCAAGTTCGATTCAGGTGATTGGTTCACTTGGTTCACTGATAGAAATTTTTACTTTCACCTATTTTGTTGTTCACTATGGGTCCCCCTTGTATCATAGATGGACGGTTTGATGATGAATATTTCCAGCAAACCGAAGAGTCAAGTCAATTTAGGCAAGAGTATGAGATGCGGAAAATGAAACAGGCATGTGTTTGTTTGTAAATGTGTATTGTTTATTTGGCTTGCTTCTGATTGGAGCAAGCATGCATGTCTTTGTAGTTATTTATATTGCATTCTTTGCTGTGGTTTCTGCATTTGCTCTATGATTATCTTTGATGGTATGCAGGACCAAGGTTTGGATGTCATAGCAGAAGGTTTGGATACATTGAAAAACATGGCCCATGATATGAACGAGGTTTGCTGTGTTATGCTTTGCTATCTGTTGCTTGGCAGTATAAATGGATGCTAATTCATGATGTTATGCAATGCTTGCAGGAATTGGATAGGCAAGTTCCTTTGATGGATGAGATTGACACTAAGGTCAGAGAATTTAACTTGTCCTCGTAATGTGTTTTGGAACACCATTTCATACATGGAACCCTCCCCTGCTTAATTATTTGCTGCAGCAAGATTTGTGAAAGTATTCACAGCTTGTTGCTTCACGTCTTACAGGTGGACAGGGCAACATCTGACCTAAAGAATACCAATGTTAGACTTAAGGACACTGTTAACCAGGTGATTGTACTGCGATGGATTTAACTCAGATTTCCTTTTTCTATGTAGCTTTACTCAAGCATATTTGTATACTGGGAATAATAGAGTCATGGTGTTGTTTCAGCTGAGATCGAGTCGAAATTTCTGCATCGATATTATCTTGTTGTGTATAATACTGGGCATCGCGGCCTATTTATACAAGTAAGTTCAATATCTCTCTTAATGTCTAGAAGAAGGTTTATTAAAGTTTTTGGAACCCTCCCCTACTTAATGTGTTTTGGAACACCATTTCATACATGGAAGGGTAAATAGCAAAATAATCGAAGAAGCATTCTGATCTTGTCTTGTGTTTTTTTGGGTGGGTTGTGATCTTCTTCATGGTCGGTTGGCTTTAGTTTTTAATCTCACTTTTGAATCTTTTCAAAGTTTCTCATAACACAGTCAACTTCCATGCTTGTTTCGGTGTTCATTTTGTTTCCGTTTTTATTTGCAGTGTATTGAAGTAAAATGGTAAAATGGGCTATCGGATCTGTTACTGTGACAGTGGATTTGTCTGGTTTATTTCTTGCGTTCATTGAGGTCTTACTCTGAGCTTGAGTTTTGGTTTCCTTTGCTCTTCTAATGTTTTGCATGTCTTTAACTTGGAGAGTGCACTTTTGTCTTTTAAATACAAACATGGATACAACACGTCTCTGTTAATAAATTGTTTGCTGCATTTCTCACTTTGTCGACTCATAAATCATCTTGATTTTGCTGAGCTACAAATCTCTGAACACCGATTGGTTACTTGTTTAAAATTTGTTGATATAAGCTGAAAGACTTTCAGCAAAATTAAATTGTATTCACAGACAAATGATAACATCGGAAAAACTTTGGACAGCGAATCTCTTCACATTTCCAGGTTAGGATTGACATTGAAGCATGGCTTTGTCTACCCGTGGAAGTAAGTATTAATAGTGTCCCATTGGATCTACTCATTTTTGAAACGGGTGGCTTAAGGAAGAATCAATCTATCTAATTTCGTGTCGTGTTTATGTCATGTTAACGTGTCGTGTTATATTTTAACACCCTTACTTATAGTGGCTTGCTTGCTAAATAATTCAAATGACGTTCGCACTTTTTTATGGCTTCTTTGTTGAACCGTGATTTTGTAAAAGGTCATAAATTTAGAGGTTGTAAATGGGTTGGATTGGTTATGGGTTAGGTTAAAATAAATTTAATTTATTTTTCACTTGTATTAATAAATTTAATAAAAAAAAACACAAACATAATGGGTTGGGTTGACTGTGGGTCATGGGTCAGTTTGTGGGTTGACCATGGGTCACAATTGCTCTATTAGTGTGTGTATTTTTGGTATGTTAGTATATGTGTTTTGATGTATTAGTATATATTTTTTAGTGTATTAGTGTGTGTGTGATATTTATTTAATTTTATTATTTATGTTATTTAATAGAAAGATGAATAATCAATTCAATGAATATTTATTTATAATTCATATTAATTCGTTTAATTAAAATAAATTATATTATCTAACTTATTTAAAATTTGCATTAATTAATATAAGTATTCAATCTATTTATTTATGGACGGGTTGGACGGATTAATGAATAAGATTAAGATTGTCACCTCTAGTCATAATAAAAGTTTTTTTTCTAGTTTGGTCAGCCTTTGGCTCATTGCTCAAAGTGATTGTCCTCTTTATATCCATATTACAACAATAATCTTATCAGATGAAATTGGGTAATTTAGTGCACCACCTTTTTGTTACTATTAGTTAACACACATGTGCGTTGTACATAGATTATTTTAAGTATCAAAAAGTTTTCTTTGGTGATAAATATTATGGAGAAATTTATTATTCATGTCCTCATGAGGAATAAGAATACACGAGATCATAAACTATGTTTTGCCAGAAAAAAAGAAGAAAACATACAATTCAAGAATGTGAAAACTATTCTTTTTTTTTTTTTTTGAAGAGGAGTAGGAGAACTATTCAAAACAATATTTATGTTACATTGACAAATATGTTTTAAAATCATCATTTTAATTCTGCAAAACCATTCAACACATGCAATTGTTGTATATCTTTATTGAATGCTACAATTTCATCATTCTTGTAATTCAACTGGTTGGGCTGTCGAATGTAACACACATAACACTTGGTGTCGCATTCTTCCGAATAGCCTTGGCTAATAAAGAGCCAGAGGATCTGAATCCCCTTCAAATGCAGATAAATAATACAAATGCAAATACTTTGATTCAGTTGAAGTCTACGTTAGCGTTTTTAAGTGTAGAACATAGAATAGGAGTTCCAAAGCTGTTCAAAACTCTCACTTAAACTATACTTTTTTTTTTTATATTTTTTTATAGCTAATAGAATATCATGATGAGGTTTTCTTGAATCAACTGGTATCTAGACAGACCAATTCATGTACATTCAATGTCCTGAAATACTAAGAATCTTTGTTAAAACTTAAAAATGGTTGCAATGTGATTACAAGAGTCACATCAATTTAGCTTCGTTGTGTAATTTCTTACACAATGAAAGAAAGAAAAAAAAAAACACACCAAGGCTTTAACACTTTTAAGACCAATATTCAACACTAAGAAACAGTAAGCCATATGCTATCTTACTGAGCGAGCCACTGCAAAACTTTTTCTATAGTAACGTCAAAAGATACACACAAATCTTGACTACCCAAATCATCGTTGCCTTGGTAATGGTCTCATTCATTCTCCGCAATTGTTACATAATTCTTCCCTTGATCTGCTGAGTACCCTAAGCAACATGAGAAAAGTTCAAAATAAAATTTAAAATCTGAAACCTCATCAAAAAATCCTAGACCTGCAATTGGTTGCCAATAGACCAAACAGAATTCTAAAAACAATAAAATTTTTGAGCACCAATTTTAGAAAAACTTACCTCCACAATTTGACATAGCTCTTGATGATGACAAACGAAGAATGAAGCCAGCAATTGCAAGAAACAAAAACCAAGATAGCAATTGCAGAAGACTCAAAATATTCACCTCTGAGAACCTTGACAAACCCTTTTTCTTCAAAATGTGAGATGAGAAACATCACAGAAAGGAAAAGGGAAATGAAAATATTTAACAGAGCTTTATCTTATGATAGCCCTAGTCAACAACTAACTAAGACCATTAGTTTTAACAATGGCATCAGGCACTTAAACAACCCATTGTACTTGTACATGTCGTCGTTGGCAAATGTTATTACTACAGCCTTTACGTTCAAATAACACTCCTTTGCGTTCCTATGACAAGAATAATTGACATGATACGGTGGTTGGCACTAGAGGTGACAAAATTAACCAATTACCCCTTAATTTGTTCAACCCGCCTATAAATAAATAGATTGGATACCTATATTAATTAATACGGGTTCCAAATGGTTTGAATAATATGATTTATTTTAATTAAACGGGTTAATATAGATTATAAATGGATACTCATTGTGTTGAGTATTTATCTTTTGATTAAATAACACAAGTAATAAAATTAAATAAATATACTAATGTACTAAAAAATATACACACTATTACACCAAAAAATATAAATATATATACTAATATACTAAAACATACACACACTAGTACATCAAAAAACACACACACTCATACACCACCCATTACATGCGGGTTGATCCATGATCCACGACCCTCGCCCATGCCATGACCCATTGGTCGTCCCATGACCCGTGACCCACGAGATGACCCATGACCCACAGACCAACCCATAACCCACAATTGACCCCGACCTATTATGTGTGTATTTTTTTTATATTAAAGGTGTTTTAGTTTTTGTGTTAGTCTATATGTGTGTATTTTTTAGGTATTAGTGTATATTTTAGTGTATTAGTATGTATATTTTTAGTGTATTAGTTTGTATGTGTTTTGGTATATTAGTGTGTGTGTATGTTTGCATTTTGGTGTACTACTAATGTATGTGTGTATTGGTGTACTAATGTGTCTATTAAAAATTTTAATTATTTTATAGGTTAATGAGTTTAACTTAACCCGTTATAAACTCAACCAATTATAACTCATTTACTATGTGAGTGAAAAATAAATTGAATTTATTTTAGCCCAATCCAATTTAATCAAACACATAGCCGACCCAATCTAACATTATTGGCATGTGGATCATAGTTCCTCACCTACCATGGAGACAAAGAAAAGATTTAATGAGATACACACAGAACCCGCTTTGACTTCTTTCGGTTTTGTGGAGGAAAGATGGGAAGAGAACGGAGAACACAAAATCAACAACAAAAGTAACTACGTGATAGAGACGAACATGATGAGGCCTATTAAGATTAACATCAAATAATCGAACTCAAATGCAAGCAACAAGAAGAAAAATCAGAATGACCAAACAAACATACCTAATTCTTCTTCATTGGATTTGATTCATGAATCTCTTTCAATCTTAGGATTAGAATTTGTGCCGATTCAATAAGAACCTCAATTTGATGTTAATCATCCAAGCATATTGTTGTGTGTGAGAGAGAGAGAGACTTGTAGTAGTGGGCAATAGAGAGAGAGAGGGAGAGAGAGACAATCAAAGAGGTGAAGGAAGAAACCTGCAGTGTATAAAGTGAAGCAACTCCCGTGGAAATGAAAACTGACCTAACTGTTGTATTGAAGTGTAAAGGAAAAAAAAATAAAAGTTTTGAAGGAGAACATGAATGGATGACCGAAAAGATGGGTTTTGATTATTGGAATACAAAAGAACAAGAAATTGTGATTAGTAATTTACTCTATTTATTTTCTTTGATTACTATATTAACTTCAATTTATTAAAAATATAAAGTGTGGTGACTGTTGAGTTGACAAAGGAAGGAGATAAAAGGTCATTGCTCCTACTTGTTTTTGATCCAATAATACTCCTTACTTTGTGAAAGTTTTATTTTCTTGAAGTCAATGGTTCAAGCCTTTTTCCCCCCTCCCCCAAAAAAAAAATTAAAAAAAAAATATTTATGGTAGTTTGAATAATTAAGAAATATTAGAGGGTAAAAAAGAAAATTAATTTTTTTTTTAAAAGTTGTGTACATTTAGTAGTATATAGATAGATTAACAATTGTCTGTACTTGAAGGCACGGTATTACTCATAAATTAGTTATAAATATTTGTCTATACATAAATGTAAAATAAAATACAATATTGTAGTGAACGGTAAACAAGATGAGTCCGCTAATATTTTTTATAATATCAATTTACATGCATAACATATCTTTCCACATTAAATTGTTACGTCACGAAAATTATGTTATAACTATTGAAACATAATAATTCAAACATCTGAAAAAAATATATCAGTTGAAAATATTCAATGTTATGTTTTCGATTTAAAATCTACGATTTTAACATTCATAATCAACTTTATCTAAATAATAACATAATTCATAACTAATAGAATGAAAATTAAAACAATACTCTCATAAATGAACTAAGTCTACCGATGTTGTCAAATGACTAAATATAACT